ATATCTGGCCTGGAGTTTGCAATCAAACTTTACGCTTGTTTGAAACTCAGTTCCTGACCTTGGAAGTTCATCTACCACTAATCTTTACATGCTGTTTGTGCTTCACGCACACTTTTTACTCTTTGTCTCTCAGTAGTGCCCAGCAATCGCTCAGAGCTGTCTCAGTTTTTCACCTTGAGTCTTCCCTTGCTGGCTGGATGAGCACAGCAGTGTGGGCCATGAAAGAGTGCAAAACCTGGGGGCAAGGAAATGCAGAGCTGGTTTGTGTGAGTGTGCCTGAGCACTCCTATAGCCCTTCTAGGCCTATGTAGAGACACACAGAAGAAAGAGCCCGAATAACGCATGTCTTTATTTAAGCTATACTTGGTAACATATTATTTCCTTTCCATTTCACTGCTGGCAGTTAGCTTGGCACTCAAGAATTAAGGACAGATTACAGTGATTTTCTTCTGAGCGCTGCTTATCAGTGGGGCTCCAGGGATGAGCCTGATTCAGAAGCGCTGCATGGTGGGTAAATGGACAGCCGTGGAGAGACAGTCTTCCAGGAATGCTTGGAAATCTGAGATACCCCCTGCATATCAATCCTCTCCCTCACTGACGTCGTTTTATTCATCATCCAATGAACTGCACAGCTAACATGCCATAGCTAAAAGTGGTCCCAAATGACTCGCATCTACAGGAAAGCAGAATACCTGCACTCTCATGATCCTCTCCTGGGAAGAGGAGGATCCTCTGTTTAGAGGACTCTGAAGGTTGGGTTTTTTTCCTTTCATTTGTTACTGCAGCTGGAATAACATTTTAAAAAGCATTGGCAATTTTTCAAAAGCAATATTTCAAAGAAATCGCTCTGGTCACTGGTGGTTTGTGATTCACTTGTGACTGTCCCTGGGGTAGAATGAAAGAAAAAAAAAGCCCAACTAGAAATATAACTGGAAGGACTGTACTATTTAGATGAGGGAAGATCAGTTGTGTGTTTGCAGAGAGAGAGAAAGGAGAGATGGTATATACAAGTGGCCAATATGAGTCAGGAATTTTAACACGCAAACAGCTTTAGCTTGAAGAAGGTGTCCTATACAGTACATAAGATACAGAGCACATGGACTCCTGCCATGTAGCCCCCTCATGTATACAGTGCCCCGGCAGGGATGGACAGCAGAACCCCCTGTAGCTAACTCACTGCAGTCACAGGACAACTTCACTGTACGATACCTGAGAGTCACTATACCCAAAACCTCAGCCTGCAGATCGCAGTGGGTTGAGCCAATTCATCCTGTGTCCCTGGGACTGGCATTTCATGATGGCTACGTTCACTGCAATCAAGTTCCTCTGTGTCTCTGGAGCACAGAGACATGTTGTCTCAGCAGAGCAACACGAAAGGCCACGTGCGGGCGAGAGCCTGCCTGCTACGGACCCCGTGTTGCCGCCTCCCGGAAAGGGAGACTGAATACCCACTGGTACATCAGGCTAGGACAAGAGTTGTCACTTTATCTACAAGGGTGGGACAAGAAAAGAAGAGCGGGGGCTGGACTCTGCAGGAAGCTGAACATCATCCAGGAAAGCACATTCTTAACTTTAAGCATATGAATAGTATACCACAGTTAAGGGGATTAGTCACATGCTCCAAGTAAAGCTCATGTTTAGGCGCTTCGCCAGAGCAGATCGGAGGGACAGGGTCAAGCTCCTTAATGCTGAGATCACAGCTAACAGATTTCTAATTAACTATTCCTCAAACTAGAAAACCAGACGCTAGTCAAAAAGCTTGAATCTCTCTTCAAAAAGATATTTCAAAGCCTTCCCAAAATGAAGAAACTCAGGCTAGATGGGATTGTCCTTTGGCTCAGGATAGATGGAGGCAGTAACCATTGCAAATTTGGATCTGAATGTATTTTGAGTCAACCCTGCTCTAAAGACAAGCCTGAGCCAACAGAAAGCATGGTGTGAGTCCACTTCAACAACATCGAAGCATGCAGGGCTCCTCCCTGTTCTGCAACTACCACAGAGGGAAATTCACAATATACCAAGAGGGGTTTGCCTTTATCTGAGGCAAAGATGGGAGAACTGGTGTTTGGACAAATGGTCCCTTTGAGGATCCAGTTTGAGATTAAGGTTATAAGATCATCTGCTTCTTCAGACACTCCCATAGTTTTTAAGTTGCTTTATAGCTACACAGGCCTTAGAAAGTTTATGCTATAGTGGGTGGAAAATCACAGAACTGGCCTAAAGATCCAGAGTTAACACTTTTCTGTTGTAAATAAAAATAATCGTGAGCCTCTTGTGCCATCATCACAAACAGACCAACACACGGTCTCATATACAGCTTGTAAACCAACACTATCAGGGCACACTTCATCAAGGCAGAACTATTTTCATGCCAGCTGCAGAAAGAAAGAAAAGCTTTGAGAATCCATGAAACAGCAACATTATTTCCATTTCTTTAAATCTGACTGCTATACCTCTTTCAAAACTGTATCTGTAAAAGAATGCACGCCATGAGCAGTCACAGACCACGCAAGACTGTGCATAGTCACGGGAGCTGTCATACTGCTTTCCAGGCCACAGGGCCTGATGGTGAACTCCAACTGGACACCTCTGTGTCCTTTAGTTTACCTAGGTCACTCCAGGTATCTGTATTCACGTGAAACACCTTCTCTATTGCACTCAGCACTGCAGAGAAGGAAGAGAATTTGCATTCAAAGCTGTTTTAATGAAACAATTACCATTTTTCTAAAGCATTAATATCTTAATGAGAAGTCTTTTTTTTTCTCCAAATTTCTGATATTTTGAAAAATTTCACAACATTTCTTAAAGGTCTCTTTTGGTTTGCAGTTGTAGGTTTTCTGTTTTCAGTTTTCATTTAGCTTTTCAAGAGTCGTTTTTATTTTTAATTTCCCTCTTCTGTCCAATGGCAATTCGTCAGCCTCCTTACCTAGTAGGCACTTGCACAGTCAAACAGTTTCAACGCTTTTCAAAACCACTCTATTTAAAAACCTTGCCAGAAAAAAAAAAAAGAAATAAACCAATCTACTTAAAAAGGAAGTTTCTTCAAAAGGCTTGCATTTTCAACATGAATAAATAAATACTTTCTCTGGTCACATCTAATGGAGAATGAAATGACAAAACTGCAGCTGCCACGGATGGCACTTCAGTGGCAACACACAGGCTTGGCATCTGGCATTGGCATGTTTGAGGAATTTGTAGACCAGAGAAAGTAAAAGCTAGGTAGTAGAGCAACAATGAAAGAAATCTGAATCTATCCTACTCCGAAATGCCCTCCAGAATCTTCATTTCTTTGGGCATTGTTAATAAAGCAACATCATCACACAAGGTGTAATGAGGAGGGGAAGCAGGGCTGGAAGGGGAATTCCTGACTATGCAATTGTATTGCATAAGAATTATTTGTTGGTTGGATTTTTTTAACTGAGCAAAATATTGTTCCTTGACAGCTGCGTAAATTGCATGACCTGGAAATCAATGCCTTCGTTTCTGTGCAGCAGGCACAGTCTCAACAGGTTGCCTCCTTCTCCTGGTGAGTTTTTGTAGATGCAGAGGATGAATTTTATTGACTAATGAGGACTGATGGCATGCAGCTATCATGTAAGAAAGGATTGCTGGTACTATCCCTGAATTAAGAGCATGTTGGATTGGGTTGGTTTTGGGGAGACCTTGTTTCTTTGCCCTGCCTCCCTTTGCCTGCATGTTTGTCAGTGGTACCCTCGGTCCTGCATATGGCCATTCAGTCATCGCCTCTTCAGACTCCCTTTGGTTACACCCGTGGCCCTTCCTCCTCCCCATCTTCCTCTCAGCCACTGGTCCCCTGCAAGGACCCACTTCCCTCACAGCCACAATGCTTTGCTTCCCCTAATGGCATTCGCCCGCCTCTCCAGACTTAGCTGTTCATTCAGCTCTTCTGGGATCTATGACCTGAATGATGAGAAGAGCAGAGTGAAGGAAAAAGGAGACAACGGGAAGAGAAGTAGCAGGAAAAAGAGAAAGACCAAAAAAGAGAGAGTCCCATTTGTGGATTCACAATTATATCATACAACGCTTGAGCTCATGGGAAATGGATCTCCGTTTTCTGCATCTGACCCTTTCACTTCCATCTGTACACGGTTCTAGATGGAGGGTGAAGATGTCCGGTGAACCGGGGCAGTTTCCAAAGACGAGATGTGGGAAGGTCTTATTTGGCATACATGAACACAACAAGAGGCATCTTTTACTTCTCCCTTACAAAAATTAGCTCCCCTTTTCTCCTTGGTAATGGCTTTTGCTCAGTTGTCTTCAACATCCAAAACGGAAACTTGATGAAATCCCACTCCAGAAAGTACCTGGGAAGAACAACTGCCAGGACTCTCCCCACCTCCCTTCTCCCTGGTCAGTCTTCCCTTGGATCCACCATCCTGAACTCTCAGATGCTCCGTGAAAACAAAAAAACATCCTGAAATCCACCAAAGGAGACACGCTGTCTCAGACCTGACGGCTTTCCTCACGCTTCTGCACTTGTGGTGCCTCAGTCTTGGGCCACAAACACAGCATGGATGGTTTAGTGGACAATCACATTGCAATGTTTTAAATTTTTCTTTTTCTTAAAAAAAATAAATAAAAGAAGAGGGAAGAAAAAGTTATACACACATGTATCACAGCATTTTCAGAAGGCCTTCTGCTGCATTTATGTTAGCAGTTCAGCCTCAGTTGTAAGCCTGGATGTAAGGCAGCTGGAAGATTAAAATCGCATTGTTGGAAAGTCCGCTGAGATGTCCTCATGGAGTTTTTTGTTGTTGTTTTCTGTTTTTATTTTGTTAGATCTGTTTATTATTATTATTTATTATTATTATTTTCACTTGTTTGCTTCTCTCTAAAGTTTGGCAGGCAAAGAAAAAATGCTTTTCTGATTTTCCCCACACGTTCTGTCCATTTTGTTTTCTGTGTTTTAAGCAAAAACAAAAAACCAAAACCAATGACAGGGCAGGCTTCTGTCATTTTGTTTTAAGAAAGAAAAATAAAGGAGGTACGTTGTAGAGGTGGCTCAACTGCTTGATTTGTTCCTTTGCTTGCTGTTTGCATTTTCCCTTCTGGCTGCAATGGACAGGCTTTTTGTCCCCCCCATCCCACCCTCCATGTCCTGTACAGATTCTGGTTCCAGATCCCCGTACAGACCCCCTGTTCCCCTTCCCAAAAATGGCAGTAGGCAGGTGCAACTGTGTGTTCATTTGACCTCTAAGGTATGATGCTGAAGTTAAGAGTTGGATGGAAGAGCCACGTGAGAGAAAAGCTTTCCCATTGCTGTGAGAAAGAACGGAGCAACACAGAGTCCAGTGGAGATGTGAGTGCCATGTTGGACTCAGCTTTACCTTGGCACTGGCATTAATTTCAGATTATATATATATATAATTATATATACATATATATGCATGTATAGGTATACATAGACACATATATGTATATATGTGTGTGTGTGTATGTTTGCTATTTGTTTTAGCACACTGTCCCATTCTCAGGTCTAGATTTGGGGTAGTTGGTCCTGGGGACAGGTTGGACAGAAGGGGCCAGAGTGCAGAAGAAGCCAGAGATAAGAGTGAGGCCCAGGCCCCCCCACGCACAGAACATGGACCAGCCATAGCCATGGCTGATGTCGTCGGGAAGTCCGTACAGGTAGCGGGGGTAGCGGGAGAGCTCAAAGTTGATTCCAGCCACGCACGTGCACAGTGAAATGATGCAGAAGGTTCCTGGAGGAGAGCGGGAAGGGGAGAAGGAGGGAGGAAAAAAACAAAGAGAAGTTAGAAGAGTGACAGACGTACCACTTTCCAAGCCGCCTGAGAAGAGCTGGTGCAAGCAGTAAGGAAACACTTCAGGGAAGATGTTTATATAGAAAGTAGCTTAGTCGAGCGGCTCCACAGGGAATGAACTGAGTGCCACCAGAGCCTTGGATATTGATCTGTTGCTGAACAGAGCTGTATGGAGAAACTTCAACAGGAAGAGTTTTTTCATTACAAGCACTCCTTTCATGAAACCATTTATTTTTCTGGAATTTTGCTTTAGACAAATACAGAGTGAATCATCATGTTATCAATATTTTTTGGGGAAAAAAATCTTGAATTTTTCATTTAATTTCAATTATTCAGCAATAGATTTTATAGAAGAAAATTTTATGGAATACTTGACGTATTCTGGCTCTGTCAAAACATAAACTTGAAATCACTCGGAGAGATTTTTTTCAGGCTTTCCTTATATAAAAATCTAAAATCTTTCATTATATACTCCCCTTTTAAATATCACTGTCAAAATCATAAAATCCCTCCCAAAGTTCGGATTCTACCATCTGATTCCAGTCCCAATCTAGATGCCCTCTGCAGCGTTGGGGAAATCTTCAAAATATCTCGTTCTTGTTTTCTTTCTCTGCAGCAATATTTCATTTCTTCTTGAGAACACTGCAAGGACAGGCTTCATAACTTTGTCAGGTGGTAAGTGTTACAGAAAGTCAAACATTTCAGATGAGGCTGAACCTTAGTCCACCCAGATGAGTCTAATTTTGATCTTTGGCCTCCAGCTTCATCAGAGCTCAACTCTGAGCTCCTGAAATGTCACAGTTGCCACCCACACACCAAATAATGGATAGCTACGCACGCTACGTGTCTGTCTCAAGAGATAACAACTAAAGTCAACATAAAATTGGTAGTTTATTTTTCCTCTCTGATTCCACCCTATGTGAGCCTCTCTGAATTGCCTGGAGAGCCCTGGGCACAGAAGGCACATTGCAGGATGTGTGCTCTAGTAACACATGCGGCCAGTCCTGTGGGTCGTCCCACTGTTCATGCACAGATCAGTAGCGTGCTACCTATGCAGCATGTCCTGCATCTTTTCACTAGCAGCTGTGGATTTTACACTCCCCACTCTGAAGACACAGGTAAGATTATGTGGCAAAGTCACCTGGAATTAGGCTTAGAAACTGGAGGCATTTGTAGGAACATAAATACCACCAAAAGCCTGTGGATTTCTGACCATACTCACCTCCTTTACTTGGTAAGCATATCACACAGGTCCAGAATCTGCAGGCAAATCTTTGTCACAGACCTGCTGTGAGACCACTGTCACGTCCCTCTCTATTCCCTCTTCTGATCACTGCCCTATTTGGACTGTCTTTTCTCCAATGTGTTTCGGAGCGCCACTTGTAGATACTCTCAGTTGTAAAGGTCAGGGAATATGGGAACTCTGGGTGCCTCCCCTAATGCTGCTAGATGGCCCAGGTTATTCATAAGTACTCATATTATGATGGTGCCAACAGAGTACCAGTCAGGACAGGCGAGCTGCTGCGGCAGGTACTATGGCTATTTAAATAAAGTCTGCCTTCTTGCCTCACAGCAGAACCCAATTAGTCTACAGTCAGTGTTCTGGACTTTTGCAAACACCTTGTGAGACTCCAGGCTCTATAGCTGTCTTCAGAGATGTTCTACACCACTTCTAAGCACAGGGCAGGATAAATGGAGAGGTCTCCCTCCAAGAAGCCATTACTCAAAAACCAGATTGCTTGATTAGAAACCACACACTCCTTCCCGTGTTTTACCATGTCACTTAGCTTATCCAGTAACACGAAGGTGTCCGGCAAGAATTTGGTTGTCCCCTGTGTGACATGTCAACATAACTAGTACATTGTGAGATCAGGGGAAAAAAGGATCCATCAGAGCCACTGTGATCTGAACCAAGCTCCGTGGCCCATTTCAAATGGCTGTGGTTAGAAAATAACATGAAAGGCCTTTCTTAGCTAGCAAGAACATGATAATTTCAGCTCGCTTGAAATATAACATTGTTAAGAGAGGTGGGTGGGAAAATCTGTGCGGCCAGACTGAAGCTGCACTTGCTAAGTACAAAAGGGAAGGAAATAACTTCGGATTTCAAATACTCCCTGTGCTTTCACGCTTTGTCTTGGTTATTTTGATTACAAGCTCTTCAAGGCAAGGAGCATTGCTTACTCTTTATATTTGAACAGGGCCCAATATATTGGCACTCCACCTTGCTTGGGGTATTCTGCCCCATAACAAAGAACAATAAAGAAGAATGAGTAACAACAAGAGAGAATAAAGCAAATCATGGCCATGAGCCTTCTTTAAAAACAGACTGCCCCTGTCCTGCCCCTTCACTGGAGAACATGCTAATCCCACGGTGACAAATAATGACTGCTGTATGCAGCTTTAGAGGATGCACAGCACAGTCCTCAGCCAGTCACCCCTCTGTGCTTCTGCAGGATGTCTTGTACGGCACAGGTTTATCATCAGCCTCCCTGGTGCTATTCATTACAGACACAAAAAATGCCATTTTATACCACCTAGAGGAATCTTTACGGCCATTATACAAGTCCTATGTGTTGTCTGTATTCAGCCCAGCGAGGAAGTTCCCGCTTGTAGCTAATCTAGCCTTTCACCAGGAGGGGTATTGATGAAAACTGAGTACAGTTACTACTTTAGGACTGTTCTGTGGCTTTTCCTCATGAATTGGCAACTGTAACACAAAGGATCATCCTTGCAAATCACACAATTTTTGGCCATCATAGTGAAAGAGTCATGGTGGAAGGGATGCAGAGACTGAGCTTACCCTTGGCAATGCAGCCTCTGCTACTCTGGGTAAGACACAAAGCTGGGATGGCAGGAGGAGGGAGACTGCTGCTCCTGCCCATGACACTGGCTGCGCTATGGACACGGCACTTTAGAGGCAGCAGGATTGCAGCAAGTCATGAGCATCCCCAATCCTGAGATTCTTTCTCTCCCCAGAAACGGAACCCTTATTCTCTTTCCTGGCAGGTTCTTGCCATCAGTGAGGTGCCCCCCTACATGTGCACTAATGTCCCAGATCCCAGGGCAGCTGCAGCAATACAAACTTTTCTTTCTTTGTGAAAAACACTTGTGATAACTCTAGCTCAAGCAAATGACCAGACCTGAAGGCTGGTGGTCCAAGGCTCGGCACTTGCACTGCAGCACTGGCACACAGAATGTGAATGACAGGCAGTAGGTAATAAAAGTGCACTGGGGATGTGCTGGTACACAAGCTGGACAGGGAAGATAAAGACCATCTCCTTCAGCAGCTGGGGAGAGCAGAATGGACTAAGTTCTTTGTGCTGGGTTTGCACGTTATCCTCCTAAGCGAAACATTAACGAATGAGACAAGGCAACTGCAGTGTTTTCGACACACGAAATTCACGTGTCATTGTAAAATGCTTCAGTCAGGTGAGAGATGAAATTACACGTAAGGCTGTGTCTGCGCCATGGAAACTGCTGTTTGAGATGTCGTCAAACCTCCACCCTGGCTCGTCATCAGACAGCTGCCCTTCTTCTCAGGCTGATTTTGGCAGTGCCCGTGCTAGCGGACTGATGATCAACAGCGGTTTGAGCACCTGAGCTATTCAATACCTCATGGCTATCTTGCGCTTTTCCTTCTCATGTATTATGGAAGAAGAATATTAAACATTGTACTGAATGTATTCTCCATTTAGACTGGAAGCATGTTTAGGACAAAGATGAATTTATTTGCTATATATGCGCAAAAGATTGGGGTCCTGCCACCCTTGCTGCAGGGGTAGACATGGTCAGGAGAGGGATGGCTGGGAAGGGTAACAGCATTGTTGGTCAAAGCCTAATTTGGTGTGGATTATGAGTCAGAGCCCTTTACTGTAGCTGTTTCTAAGCGTGTTTATATCAAGCAGAGCCGTGGGCCTCTGCTGCTAGGAATTTTTTTTTTTTGTAAACATTCCTTTTCTTTCTGATCAGCTAGCTGTGAGAGGGACTGCAATGCCTCTGTTTGCGGTTTTCAAACCACACCTAAAGGGGAGAGCAGAACTGGTTGTGAGTGAACTGATTTAAACACAAGCAGGCTCAAACCACCTGTACCAAATACATTTGAATTTTGCCTCATGCTGGTGCCCCCCTGAACCATGTCAGAAGCCAGCCACATCCTTCGCCCACAGACCTGGCTTGGCTTCCAGAGCAATGGAGCTTGAGGGATTTCACAGGGTCCATGGTGTTTTGTGAGACAAGAACTTCTGCCTTTCTTAGATAGGCTGCAAATGAAGGTGAGCTTTTGTGGTGCTGGTGCACAAACAGACCCCGTTGGCAGGAGCTTCGTCTAAACATCCTCATCCCTGGTTTTAGTAATGAGGAGTGTGACTGTAGCCTGAAGGAGACATCACAAATTTGAAGTCAAGGGAAGTCCAAAAAGCCAGTAATTAAAATGATCCAGGCACCAAGCCCACCTCTGAGACCCTCCTCTCTACAAATCATTTTTCTCATTATATGGAAAACGTTTCCTCAATGTCTGATGGAACAACGCTTGTTCTCTCCCTTCCCCCATAACAGCCAAAAATGACTCACGAAGTAACTGTGCTGTCAGACATAAAGTAAACAGACAAAAAAAATCCTGATTCTTCTCCCGTTCTGTTTTTTTTTTTTTCAGAGATTAAAATGTCAAGTATTACTTACAAACACTAGTAGATAAAAAGAGAAACACAAAGGTATGGATTTTAAGATGTCCTCTGAAACCAAGCAGTTCTCAAATAAATGCGAATCTCAACCTTTCTGAAGTATTTCTAGTAGCTGCGATTGATGGCAATTTGTGGCCACTAATGTCTTTGGAAGGAGCACTGTTTATTTAATTATCATCACTTTTTTATTATTGGGTTATAGGGAAAAAAATCTCACAAGTGAAACAACATTATCTTTACTTTCTTTCTGCCCTACTAGCT